GGGGGGGGGTATGTGCTCTGGTGGAGTAGGAGGTAAGGAGCCAGGAAGGCTCCCAGGTGAGAAAGAAGGAAGGACACTGGGATTTGAAGGGTGGGTGTTATTCCAACAAGAGATACCGGGAGAAGGAACCAAGGTGGGGCCTACTTGGGGCATGCTTGCCAGATTCACTGAACAATAGAGGGAGGTGAGGGGGAAGTCAAGTGTGGAATCAGATAAAGGGGTCCCGATAGGCGAAGTCTGGGTTGCATTGATGAGTGGAGAATTGCTGAAGGTTTTTTGAAAACATCAGGAAAAGTGATCGTAGCCAACATGTGTTTTGAAATGCTTTGTTTGGCAGGTGTATGGGAAGGTAAAAGAACATTCTGGAATATTTTCAGTCCGAGTAATGGAAGCGTTGCACAGGGAATAGTGACCATGGCCTTGCCTTTACCTCCATGCTCAACTCCTTTGCACCTCCTTTCACAGCGGCCACACTTGGCCTCTTTTTGTTCCTCAGAAACACCAAGTTACCAAGCTCAGGCTTGCCTCGGGGCCTTTGTACATGCTGTTACCTCCACCAGGAAGGCTCTTATCTCCTTCATTCAACTCAAATGTCACAGCCTCACTGGAGCCCTTTCTACCTGTCTAAAGCAGACACCCCCATCCTGTCACTTCTCTATACCCTCACCCTGCTTTTCTTCATAACATAGCATTGGCCTCTAGCGTGGCGGCTGCTGGGACCTCTTACTGAGCAGAGCAAACCCAACTTCTTGACTCCCTCAAACTAGCCCCTCCTCGGCCTGGTCCGCAGAATCAACCACCCCCAAACAGCCCTCATCCCAACCACGGGGCAGCCTGGGCACTCGGCCCTGAGTGCATTCCACACGTGGCTCTTCTGCTGGTCACCTAAGGCTATTTTTAATCTTATTCATGTTATTTATTTAATTGTTCATTACCTCCCTTGTTCAGTCCTTGAACACAGGAGCAAGAGACAGTCTGGTGCTTAGGGGTAGAGGAAGTGCTCCAACCTATTTGTAGACTGCCTGAATCAACAACAAGAAAATGCTTGCCCAGGAGTTAGAAGGTCTGGGGTTCGGGGGAGAATCTGCTGTGGTAGATTGGTTTCAAAGAAAGAAAAATCATCTAACATTTCTCGAGCACGTACTCTGTGCCTGTGTTAAATCATCCTCACAATGTCTGATGCAAGGACAATAATCCCGTTTCTCAGACTTGGAAACTGAGGCACGAAAAGGCGAACTAACTTGCTCAAGTTCCTTAGAGAGGAAGCTTGGAATGGACCCCTTCCCCCACCCTGCCCCCAACAGGCTGGCCCAGATAAAGAGCCTGAGGGCCAGGAGGGAACAGAGTCTGGAGGGAGAGGAGCTCCAGCAGTCAGAGCAGCAGTCGCTGGGCAGGGAAGTGTTTTGGAAACTCTGAGGTGTTCAGCATCAGATGTTAGCATGAGGTCAACGAACAAACAGTGGACCCAAGACTAAGTTGGAGTTCGTTCTTGGAAGTGAATGAGGACTTGTTTTTCTTTTAAAAGAAATTACGATTTAAAATAATTCATTTTAACCAGCTACATACAAACATAAAATGAACCTGTTTTATGTATTTTATGTAACTCATCGTTAACGAGGACACAGGGACGATGATCGGACCACTGATTCAAAGACGGAGTCAGAGCAGGGCTCATACAAGGCATGCTGACACGCATTTATGAAGAGATGCGAAAACTAGCAAAACTCCCCAGATCCACCAGGCAGTAATCCATCGCATTCCAGGGACTTAATTTGCATGTCTATGGACAAAAGTGTCTTGCATTACTATTGGTTTTCTACCAGTGGCTGAGCTGTGAAAAGCTCAGAAACAAAAGTGCAGGTAACCCAACGCACCAGAGCAGGCTACCCATTAATCTTTTTTTTTTTTTTTTTTTTTTTTTTTTTTTTTTTTTTTTGCCTATTTCATAGCCTTCCACAATTTTCCTAATACTCTATTACATTTACTGATTTATTTTGGAAGAAGCAGTACATTCGCGTGGTTGAAATTCAAAAGAGACAGCAGTAAAAAAATCTCCTTCCCGTTCCTGCCACCCAGGACCCTCTGGATGCAAAGTGTTAGCAATTTTTTAAGTATGCTTCCAAGAAATTCAGTGCACAAGAAGCAAACGTGTGTATATATGTAATCTCTACACCCCACATGGGGCTCAGACTCACAGCCCCGAGATCAAGAGTCGCATGCTTTCCAACTGAGCCAGCTCCCCAATAAGCAAACCTGTTAAGAAAAAGACACAGAGGTTTGCCTATTTTTTTTTTTAATGACATATTTCACATACTGTTCTTGTTTTGTTTTGTTTTTCAACTCAAGAATGGGTCTTAGAGAGTGTTCCGTATCGGTACGTAAGAGTTCCCAGATTCTTGGGCCACAGCTGTAGAATCTTCTGTCTGGATGGCAGGACCACGTTTACTCAATCAGTCCCTTATTGATGGCACGGCAATTTCTGGGTAAATAATTGAAAGGCGTTGAGGAAAAAGTGAGGAGCAGGCAGAAGGAGATGGAAATAGAAGGAGGCTATGAATACTTCCTCAGCTTCCTCATCTGGGAAATGGGTTGATGACTCTAAGGTGCCCATTGCACACAGGTTTGTGAGGGTGATTGGTTAGTTTATGGAAATTGCTTAGAACAGTACCTGACAATGCTTAGAACGTGCCAGCTACCAGGATGTATCCTTGTGCTTCTTTGGGACGTTCGATGTTGAGAAAAGGAAGAGAAATGACTTGGAGGCATTCAGAAATTTCCTTTTTTTTTTTTTAATTTTTTTTTCAACGTTTATTTATTTTGGGACAGGAGATGAGCATGAACGGGAGGCAGAGAGAGGAGACACAGAATCGAACAGGCTCCACCAGCCATCAGCCCAGAGCGTGGACGCTAAATGAATCACGGACTCCGCGAGATCGTGACCTGGCTGAAGTCGGACGCTTAACCGACTGCGCCACCCAGGCGCCCCAGAAATTACCTTTTTAAGAGTGAGCAGAGGGAAATCCTAATTGCAACCTCATGAGTGCTCACTGTGCGTTTGGCTACCCGTGCTTGACAACACGGAGTCAGTGAATTTCCAGGTGGGTATTAATATCAGTATTATTATGGCTCCCATTGCGCAGATGAGGAAATCAAGCCCCAAAGAATTTCATACCTCAAGCAAGGCTGCCCAGCCTAGCTGCCCAGACCAGTGGGACAGCTGGATTCACACCCAGACGTCAGACAGTCTGAGGCCAGCTGCCACGTACTCAATCACTGCACAGTTCTGCCTCTTGATATGGAAAGAAAGAGAAAAGGTTAAAGTGTAAAAAGAGGGCTGGCCACGGAGCCAGGGTTCTGATGGGGAGGCATCCGGGAGGGAGCAGGGAGGGGGTACGCAGAAGAGAAGGCGGGAAGGCTGATACCCTGAGGAGGGAAAAGGGCTTGTGTTAGGTGGTTTGGGGACCAGGAAGGTGGGCTGGGGGGAGGGGCTGTGGGAGATCAAGGGGAAAGGCCCCCGAGGCTAAGGTTAGGCAGGACAAGGAGTCAGGGATCCAGAGCAGGGCACTGATCCAGTGGGCCATTTTTAGCACTTGGGCTCTTACTCTGAATGAGGTGGGATCTGTTGATGGTTTTTGAGCAGAGGAGGGCCGAGGTCTGACTTCTTTTCAAAGGCCTACAGCCTCTTTGTGTGTGTGTGTGTGTGTGTGTGTGTGTGTGTGTGT